AGAGAGAGAGAGAGAGAGAGAGAGAGTTGACAGTGATAGGAGGAACCATCTTCAACTTGAGCTACATAGTTCAATCTTATCTATTTCCCCAGTTGAATTTTTGGATCATGCAGTTTAAATTAATTTGTGTGGAATTTATTTGGGTTTGATGAGTGGGTGCAGTGGTAAAAAGTCTCAATACCTTGAAGGAGACCTTTAGCTTACGCATGGAGAAAAATATTACTAAATCATATAGTATCAAATGTCTCCTCACTTCTTCCACCGACCAATTACAAGAACTACAATGGGGGTAGGAAAACGCCGGTCAGCAGAGAAGCTGCTTTGGAGGTACTTCTCCAAGTGGTAAAGCACTTCAAACATGTTTGCCAAGGATGCCAGCTTAAATCAGCAAAACTCAATTCTGAGAACACATTTTGCAGATTAAGTCAACCAAGTCAGACAAGCTCACACTCGTGGATTATGGACAAGAGAGACGACTATGTTTGAGTGGAATACCAAAGTGCCATTTTAGGGGTAGATGTACCCCATAACCTGGAAATTAGAACAAAAACCCTTGATGCCATGATTGAAAAAATGAGTGTTGTGACTGTCGATGCAAATTTCCGCCGTCTTCAGTCTTGACGAAAATGCACCTGCAAAACAATCAACACCCTTGATCAAAGACCTAAGCCACAATCGCCCACGAGATAAGGGGGGTTAGGCCAATGGATCTTCAATGCCTAAGTTAGTTTCTCTTAGAAGAGTAAAGTGTTTAGGGCTTTTTAGGGTAGCAAAAGCTTGCCGAAATTTGGTAGAATAAGGGGTATATATTGGAGGGGAAGGCCGACCATTGTGTTAGGGTTTTACCCTACAAATGGCAGCATCCTATTGGCCAATGTTTATGGAGAAATGTTCTCAAGATATTAAATAGGAAATAATATATTGAGATAATGGAGTAATTATCCCTAATTGATTTAAATTGGGATTACTTACTTGAATGAAGTCAATCTTCAATTGGGAATGTATTAAATATAGGATTTGGGTCATTAATCCTTATCTTTAATGCTTTGATTTTTCCTTACCAAGGACAGGTGAGCTGTGTGCAGTCGTATTCAACTACTGGGACCTTCAAGGGTGTGAACTGCACGTAGGAGTATCTAAGGAGCTTGCCCATTTATTAAGGGTAATCTTGTCTTTCTTGGGCCAAAGTCCATACATGTTGGGCTACACGTAGGAAAAAGGAAATATGTGTAGAAATCCCAAGCTGCATAGGCATGTAGAGTTGTTTCCCAATTTGAACTTGATCTCCTTCCTTGATTTGGAGATAGACTTTATCTAAGAAAAGGAAACCAATTGCCTCCAATGCCTATTTAATTCTGCCTTAAGCAGGGGATTAAATAAATTTGGAGGACAATCATCATTCCAACAAGGAAGAGAGAAGCCAAAGAAAATTTTTCCCTCTCCCTTAGCTTTCTTCTTCTCTTGCCATTGCAAAGAGTTGTCTCTCGTTGTTCTTCTTCTTCCCCGTGCCGCACCAAGGTAAGAAAATTTTGAATTTTCTTTTTCTTTATTTTTTAGGAGTCTTGGGACTTGAAAAATTGGCTCAGCGAAGGCCGAGGAGGCGTGAATGATGTGGCAGGGATGCCACGGGGCTGCTATGCTGCGGTGGGTAGCGTAGGCTGCTGATGGTGTGGCACGAGGATCGGCTCGGCTTGAGCCGAGGTGCTGAAGGCGCAAGCAAGGCTCGGCATGGGCCAAGGGCACAGGGGCATGGAGTTGGGCTTGGAGGAGAGGGAGAGAGGTGTGAGGCGCTCGCCCCCCCTCGGCGGTGGACTAGGCCAAGAGGCCATTGGGCCGGCTGTGGTGCATTAGGCGCGAGAGAGAGACAAAGTCGGGTCTAGGCCGTGGGGTCTGGCTTGCTGCTGGGCTCTTGCAGTTTGGGCCGGTGCTAAAGGAGGGAAAGCTAGCCTTAGGGCCTGGCGTTGGGGAGTTGTGCTCTGCGATCCTTTTTATTATTATTATTTTTTTTTGTTTCTCTTCTCGCAAGCTACTTTCTAAATATTTTTCTTTGTACTTTTTGCAGAGATTCTGAGATGTCTTCCTCCGATCGCAAAGGGACAAATATCCTCCACCTTTGTACTGTCAAAGTGGTTCTTCTAGCAAGGTGGGCTACTTCAAGGCTGCACATGTCAAGATCAATTCTGAATCAACCTAAATTAATCAACTTATGTGGATGATTTGATGAGCTTGGTTTTATTTTTTTTTGGTTGGTATAAAGAGGATGTCATAGAGCACTTTTTATGGTATATTGTTGTGAAGATTATGAGGGGGAAATTACTGTCATGGCCCATGGCAGGTAAATTGACTTCAGAACGATCTCCAAAAGTTCTCTTTACTTTTACATCACTTTTTTTCACTGTTTTCTTAATACCCATCGAACTCTCCCTACTAGTCTACTTCAGGTACTACTACTGTGACAATTTAGTTCCTGCCTCTACCAAGCAACCGGCAGGATGATAATTTGTACGTACTTCACTCAATTCAATTATTATTTTGGTTTAGGTTTAGGTATTGCTTCTTAATTTACTTTTTAATTTTCAATCTATATAATATGGCTTCAATTTTTTTTTGGGCAAATTACATTTTCATACCTCAGGTTTGAGGTCTATTTCAATCCCATACAACAACTTTAAAATATTTCACTTTCATACCTCAAGTACTATTTTATTTCAATATAATACATCCGTTAGATTTTCCATCAATTGATCTGTTAAATGCTGACGTGGCTGCCAAATGTCTGCCACGTGGCAAATAAAATAATTTTTAAATTTTTTTTAAGAAACCTGAATTTTCTCAAAAAAAAAATTTGAAACCGACATCTGCAAGAAGAAGAAGAGGAGGGAGGAAGAAAGAAAAAGAAAAAAAAATAGAAATCCACTGCAAGAAGAATAAGAAGAAGAAGAAGAAGGAAGAAGGAAGAAAATAAAAAAAAAATAATAATAATAGAAACCCAGATCTGCAACAAGAAGAAGACGCTGGGTGCCCGGGGGGGGGAAGGGTCGCTGGGCGGCCCGGGGGGGGGGGGGGTTAGGGACAATTTTTTTTTTTTCTTTTCTTCCTCCCTCTTCTTCTTCTTCTTCCTCTTCTTCTGGGTCAACGGGGGGGGGGGGGAGGACAATTTTTTTTTATCTTTTTCTTTCTTCCTCCCTATCTTCTTCTTCTTGCAGATCTGGGTTTTTTTTTTTTGTTGAGAAAATTCAGGTTTTAAAAAAAATTAAAAAATATTTTTATTTGCCACGTGGCACAAATGTGGCAGCCACGTCAGCATTTAACGGATTAATTGATGGAAAATCTAACGGATGTATTATATTGAAATAAAATAGTACTTGAGGTATGAAAGTGAAATGTTTTAAAGTTGTTGTATAGGGTTGTAATAAACCTCAAAACCTGAGGGGTTACTGTGTAATTTTAGGCTTTGCTTCTTAGTTTACTTTCATGGCTATGCACTAGTGATTCAAAGAAAAGACAGATTGGATGAAGGAAGCCAATAACCATACAGCTTTTGCTTATACAGGTGACTCATTTCTATGGATGTGATAAATGAAGAAAATTGGGATTTTACCATAAAACAAATTAACAATATGAAGAGTAATCAAACTTACTTATAAGCTCATGTAATGTCTCTTCTTCCATCAATGTGAGATTTATTCTCAATAATAAATACATTGTCAAGATGTCTGATATTGATGAACGAAATTCAGATTGATCTGCAGGATTTAGTTATACATGTTATTTTGTTTTTCTCTGGCATATTGTATTGAATGTGGATTTTCTCGCTTAACACATCATATTTTCCTTTGTTGGCTTGCTTGCATTGTTATTTACTGTGCTTGTTTTGTACCTTGTTTCTTGCATTAATATCTCACAAGAAAGAGCTCTAAATTGGGTTTTGAACATGCAGTGTAGTGGGATGGTCGCGTATTTTATACACAATGTTCGTCGTTGAGCTTCAACGGCTGATCAAATGTGTCAGCGTAGCATAGAAGCGTGAGAGGACATCTTAAAATCTTCAGCCCGGGATCACATCCCAGTGATTCCATCATCTATTCTTAAAATTTTCGACGAGGCAAATAATCAGGCCCGGTGTAAACAGTGCACCTGTCCAGGTCCCAAATTGTTATGGGGCACCATAATTTTTTAGTAGCAGATATAGAGGTTTGTAACAACAAAAAACACTTCGCCTTCTTCCCTTGCGAATCGCGACAGGGGCGACCAGAGCCTTTCTTCCAGATCGGTGCCCTTCCTTCGCAACTTTCCTTATCGCCCTCTTGACCTCCAAAACCGCTGCAGAAATCGCCCAAAACATGACTGAATTTTACATAATCGGTTGCCATCGTTCACCGCTGCAGTGCCTCTGTGCGTAGCTCGTTGAGCCTTCTGGGTACTCTTACTCCGAGCACAGAGTGATTACTAATATTTCACTAAAATTGCCCATTTATATGTTTAATTGTTAAATTCGTGATTATTAAGTGAGTAACTTTGATATTCCCAGATTGTTAAATTCACTTCTTGTTTTTCAGATTCGGACGAAAGATGGGTACTTAACGGGTTTGAGATGTGAAGGACTAATAGAAGTCGTGTTTGTCGGTGCAATTTCTGTTTGGTTTGAGATGTGAAGGACTAATGAGATCGCTTTGGTGGGGAGTGTTCCCCAGAACTGATCCGTGAGTAAAATATTTGATTCTCTGGACGCTTGATTAGTGAAAAACCTTACTTTTATAACCCCTTCCAATTTTTTTCAACATAATGTTTCCACTAAGTTGATTATTTCAAAATTTGAATGTTTAGCTCACTATTTGGTGCTCCCTGATCTGAAGTTTTCGGGTTCTGTTGAAATTTCCTTTCGTGAAACTAACTATTGGGAAAAGTGATGAACGTCCATGGGATACATTTTAAATTAGGCTCTAATGTGCTTCAAACTCGATTGAACTTGGTTACTGGCTTTTTTTTATCTTAACCAGGTGATGCATGGCTCTTAAATTCTCCAGAATAATCGCTGGGATTCGCCCTTGCAGATGAAGGTTTCGATGTATGGGTTGGGAATGTGTGTGGAACACGTTGGAGTAATGGACACACATCTTTATCATAAGAGAATAAGGTTTATGCTTTCTTGTAGGATTTTTGGGTTGGAGTTGGCAGGAATTGGCTTTATTTGATCCATCAGAAATGATGCGCCACATATAACCGACAACAAGCTCCAAAGTCTTTGTTGTTGGACATTCACAGGTCTTACAACTCTTCATCTACTTCACATTTCCTTCCCCTGCTGCTACTTCTGGTGTTTACCCAATTTATTCATGTTATTAGGGAACAATCATGTCTTTAGCTGCTCTCACCCAACAGAAGATTGCAGAACTGGTTGCCGCTGCCGTTCTTTTCTGTCCATTATCATACTCGGAGCATATCACTTCTAAACCCTAGAATGGCCAGCATATATGTTGATCAGGTATTCCTTATCTTCTTCAAGGCATTCCTTATCTTCTTCAGATGATTCTTTTTACTCCATGTTATGAGATTTATTAGTAGTAATCTTGTTATCTTCGTACATTATTTGCAGGGGCACCAACCTTTTGGATTCAATATGTGATGGCTATGTTGACTGTTTATATTATTTTGCTTTTGATTATCGGGGTTTAAGTACTATGTTCCCCTGTTATATATTTTTCCTCAAGTAATACTATGGGCGTGAGGGCCTAGCCCCCCAACTTCGACTGGGTTCTAGCCCTTTTTAAACATATTTTTTAATATATGTTGATGTATTAAAAAAAAAAAACACATTTTGTGTGTTTGCCTCGGCGCCAAAAACACTCAGGACGACCTTGTAGTTTGGCCTTCTTTGGGTTCTTATTGCTGCTTTTGTTTCCAGTTTTAGTAGAATTAAAATGTAGCCATACCAATAATATAAATTAACTATAACCAAATCCCACGTTGTGGCGGGGGAACACAACAGTAGCGATAAAGAACAAGAAAGGGAACCAAGCAACGACTATAATGGAAATTGAGATCCACTAATGATCTTTGTGTCCGATGTTCATGAATTAAAAGACTTAGACCACTCAATTTTAATCTACAATCCATACATTTAAATGACCCACTTCATAAAAACCTAAAAATTTAAACAGCTCAGGTCTTATTCTCTCTCTTGAATGGTCCAAATCTCGCAGGCTTCAAACACATAAATATGTATTGGATCTCTTTTCATAATTTGGTTTGAGAGGTGAGAATTTTGACACGTGGTTTTTCTTTTTCCAAATTTTCAACTTTCAATGCTGTTGGTTTGTAACGCCCCGCCCCGAATTAATTCTTTAATTCCAAAAATAATATGATTAGTATTGATAGGCCCAAACTAAACTCCACTTTATTTAGCAAATTTTAAATCACACATCTTTATGTAAATACTCCTTCACATACAAAACCATCGATAGTAATTAAACATCAAAACGTATAGTTACCTTACCAAATTTATGTACTAAAATTTATTTCCTATACTTTAAAGATTTCTTCATGTCCAATATGATTCATAAACATTCGGATTTTATCAACCACCCAATTATAAACTCCAGATATTTCCATTTTCTTTCAATTAACTAATGTTCTCAAAATAAGAACAATTTTCAATTAAAGTGAAAGTCTCGATTATTTAAGGTTGCATCTAACACTGTTAGACTGCCTACGTATCCTGGAACGGGATCAAGCCTTTCGTAGTTCACATTTCATCAATTCAACCAAATCCCGAATATGTATTCAATTTATCCAACATATACCACAATCATATTAATATCCAAACCTCAGCAGTTAGTTCTCAGAAATATAATTAAAATAATGAATTTAAAACACAATTTCGGCTCCCTAGCCGTGCTCCGCCGCATGAACCGCCGTGAGTGGCGGTCGGTCGTCCCGGCTTGCCGGAAAATTCAACTATTTCCAAAAATTCCCAAAAATTACAGAAATGAAGATCTCAAAGAGTAGAGAAAACTTTATACTTGCGGCCAAATCCAATTTGGCCGAGAAAAGCTCCAATTTAACGAAAACCCGCCGGAACCCTAGAAATAGGTGGCCTCAAATTCTCAACTCCGGTGCTCTGCCACCCCTACCATTGTTTGGGCTTTGTTATAGGTCTCAAGGGGAGTCTAGCAATGGTGGTGATTGGAGGGGAACCTTTCACAGTTGTTTAAAATCGAGCAAGGTTGCCGCGGCACCAGTGGGGCGTTTTCCCCAATTCTAAAGCCAATTTAACTCCAATTTGTGGTGGAATAGGTAAAAGAGATGACGAGAAATAACTTTCAGGGGGTGGGGGACCTTAATTTCGTTAGAAATTGGCCAGGAGACGATGAATCTCGCCGGTTATGCCTCACGGGTCAAAAGACCCGTTTTTCCCCCTTCTCTTCTCCTCCCCCTCCTTTCCCTCCTTTCTTCCTTTTCTGATTGGGCTGTGCCTATTTCCTCCACTCACCTCCCGCCATGTGGCTGCACACCCCTACTCCCAAAAGATCTGGAGCTCTCCAGAAAATGGTCGAATGACCATTTCATCCCTGACTTTGTTTGTTTATAACTTTTTCGTTATAACTCCGTTTCACGAACGGTTTGCGCCTACGAACTCGTAAAATCGAGCTCTAATAAAAATATAAATTGTGACCTCAAATGGTCTATGAATTTTAAATAATAAATTCTCAAACTTCAAACTTCGTAACCAGTTTACTTTAAAACTAATCTCAAACAATTTAATATAATTTCTCAAAAAATAACAAAAATCTCAATAATACAAATACGTAGATTATCATAATTTCTAGAAACAAAACTTTACAATTTTCCCAATTTTATTTTCGTACTCGTAAATCAATTTATTTTCGATTTTCTTCACATATTCATATATTTAAATTTTCAGGGTATTACATGGTTGGCCTTACCACAATGCAATTGTCTCTACTCTCATTGAGTGAAAGAAAATAGGAAATTTGGACTAAACCACAAAACGATACAATAATTAATATTTTGACATTGAACCCATCTTGTACATAAGTCAAACATAAACCCTCCCGCCAATATATATAAGACGGCATATTATTACATTGTAGTATTAGGGACAAGTAATTCACAACTTAAGATATTTGTGTTGTAAAATAGGTGGTATGTGTGCAGTGGAATAAATGAAACAAGACATAATATTTACGAGGTTCCTCTACAATCAGTGTGACTGGAGTACGTCATAGCGGCAGCAGTAGTGCTTTTATTTATAATCTGGAATAATAAGAATACAAAGATAACTCTCACTATTTTCTCCTTATTCTTTCCTTCTTCTTTCTCTCTCATGTTTCTTTCTTTCTTTTCTCTCTTCCTTCCGGTTTCTTCCTTTCGATTTTGTGTGTTTAAGTGATCTCTTCCTTCTCATTCATTTTATAGGCAAAGGAAAATATTCATGTGTGTCATCCACATATTATTTATAACACTCCCCATTGGATAGCCATATGTAAATATCGGTTGCCTTGTTAAAATCTTGATCAGTTTTGGATGCTCCCCCTGATTTCAAATTCTCTGATGCGTGTTATGCAATACCTGAACTTTTGTGGGCTTATCGTTGATCCTTCTGCTTTAGTCTTTTGTATAGCAGAAGTGGTGCGCAATTTTTGCCTTTGAATGATCCTTCAAAACATTGCTTCTCAGCGACTCATCCATACTTGGCATCTTCAGTGTAAAGAGCCAACATCATATCAACTGTTCTAAGGTATTTACTGAGGAAATCTGAGACCTATCAACTGTTGAAGATGACTACTCAAGAGCAATGCAAGGTAAGCAATCAGGGACATGTCCCAGGCAGTTGGTTCATGACTGGAAGTTTGATTTCAGGTTCCGACTGATTGCTTTCTTTCTCCTTGTCTTGCAGGTAAGAACAAGGACAAAGAAAAGGAGAAGGGAAAAGCATGATATGAGATATTTTTGCTTTCGACCCTGATGATATGAGATATTTTTGCTCTTGAAGAAAACAATAGAAGGTTTTGATACTGATCCAAAACTTCTCAATCAAAATTAATTTCTTGATGAGGACATGAGTTGAGCATTTTGAGTGACTTGGGTGAAGAGGTATTCTCAGATAGGAGGAAAGTAGAGCATTTCGAGATGCTTTGTTGAAGATGCACTCTCAAAGATGAGGAAGAGTTAGGCATTTATGCAGATCTACCTTGCCATGGAGGACAGAGGTTGATATATATAGAGATTTCCTAATAGCAAGTAGTGGTGATGTTGGGATCATTTCCTTTTCGTTTGTCAGCAACAGTGCTGTAATTGGAACCGTAAAATTCACGCGTTTCAACTTTGTCAGATATCTTTGACAAAGTTGCCCATGATAGCCGAAAAGCAGAGATTGCGTTTAAAAAGTACCAACGAACTTTATTTAGGAAAATCCAGCTTTTGAAATTTGGAGAGTGGTGCCTCTTCGATTTTTGTACAAGTCGCCCTGTTGCCTTTTTTTTTTATAGAGGCATCAATTGTGTTCAAAATGCAAGCTCAGAAAGTTGTTGCCTGTAGAAATTTCCCCTTTTTGCACTTGTGAGATTTCAATTTATCTGACCTCTTTTTGTTCATCATTTCTGAAAATGGCTTGCCTATCTAACCGTCGTTTCAATTTAAATGTTGTGGAAGATGCAAACATGTCTCCTCAAGACAATATATGGCACTCATTCTTCTTATCTGCTAATGGTCCTCTTACGGTTAGGGACTCTGTGATGAAGAATGACATAACCGCTACAGTGGTAGCTAGGAATCTTCTACTCCCAAGGATAACAAGATACTTTCCAAACAGTCCGATGAATTGGTTGTTCAAGACTCTCTGGCTTTCAATGTTCAATGTGTGAGCTCTGTATGCAATATGGGACAACGTCTACTTGCTCGAACTCGCCAAGTTGAATCATTGTTGGCTGACGTGGCAAGTCTTAGACAAGAGATCAGATAGCTCAAGCACAAAAATAAAGAGTTGCACATGCTTGTAAATAATTACTCAACGAGCATGAAAAAAAAAAAGCTTGACCAGCTGCAGGAATCCAAAAGTTGGATTCAAAGTGACCATCAAAGGTTTGTGGCTTTATTCCAAATGCACCAATTGCCTTAGCTGTCTAGAGTTTTACCAAGTATTGAGGCTCTAAATAGTCAACCTTTGGTGCATATTCTTTCTAGAGTTCCGCTAAGTACTAAGGCATCGCATGATCAATCTCTAGTGCCTCCCTCTTCTGGGGTTCTGTCAAGTACTAAGGCTTCACATGAGCAACCTTTGTGAAGGTTCCCCCCTGAGATGTGGTACTTTTGGATCAAATATCAATTCATCTTTTCCCTCACGAAGATAAATGATCATTCTTAGTGTCTAAATATTAGTTAATCATTTGAGTATTCAACTCATAATCTTCAATCCATATGATTCTTTAATATCATAAACATCATGGATAAGATTCGTGTTGGCATATTATTCGATCTGCATCTCATGACAATATTCATTTCAATATTTTATAATCTTTCTAGACTCTTTAGGAGTCTTAATCTAATATTGTTAACTCTTGCAAGAGATTTTAGTATGTTCCAACAATATCATAATGATAGTACTCACTAAGGCAATTTATACCATCATCTGGTATTGAGTACATAATTTATGCTTTACCCTTCCAGGGCTTCCATCAAGCAATTTAAATCCTTCAGTGATTTTCTACACTTCATGACACATTCTCCTTTGGAATTTATGCAGAACAATTTGCTCTCATGTATACTTGAGGGAATTTACATATGGAGATATGATGTGGGCGACTCACAACCCTTTGTATATAATTCTCCATTCATATAAACTCATTTACAGGAGTATAATTTCAGGTTTCAATTAGTAACTTTGTGTTATTTCATGTGAGTGTATTTCACTGTATCACAAATGCCTATATGTAACCTCCTTGGTTCAACATCTTTTGGCTATTTGTATTATATTCAAATATATATGTCCTCTTTTTTTCACGTTCTTACAAAATTGTAATGGAATTGTCTTTCTCCATTTTGGCCAATAACTTTTCCTTTCGTCAACGAAAAAAGGAACAGGACTCAATATCAATACAACTCATTGATGGATTTAGTAGCTACTTGTAAAAATCAAAATTACCATTGGTTATCATCAATCCGTGATCCCATATTCTTATGTGCACGCGCATGCATAAAAATTTTTTTCATTTCTTTGGATATCCATTGCCTCTTCAAGGGTATTACACTATCTCTTCCAGGACAGTCATAGTTTAGAGAATGCGAATCATAACCTTCTCTTGAGCGTTATAGAGCTTGGATTTTAATCTCCACTTCCGAAAGTTAAGTCATTGGAACCTATACGTTTATCATGCTTGATGCATGAGACATCAACATTCCCATGTTGGCGGGCTGTCATTCTGGGACATGAATCCATGCGGCGACTGTCATACTTCCAGCATGCAACAATTATGCTTCGGGAATGCAATACTTTAGTAGTGTCATATTCTTCTTCTTTCGAATGACTGAATCTTTTGAGTCTGAGGGTCTGCCACGCTTTAGGCGTGAAACAGATAAATCATTTGCTGCCACATTATTTTGTCCAATAGGGACATTAATTCTTGCAGGCATATTTGTAGCTAGTATATGTGATTTTATCACTTTCATTGCATCATTAAATGCATCTGACATTTGATTGGCAATACTTTGAAGATGAACAATTATTCTCACTTCATCTTCCCCTAACGGCGATAAAATTGTCTTATCAAAATGATAGTCCGCAAACTGCGCGGTTCCAAATATTGAATGATAGATGGTGAATCAATCCAACATAAATTTCCAGTTTGCGTTGAGGCCTCATTTTAGTACATTGAGGCAATGCAATAGGCACATCAATAACATAACCAAAAATACGTAAATGTGTAATGTTTGGCTAGTGCCCAAACACGAGTTGTACTGAGAAGTATTAATGGTTGGCAACATGTCTCAACTAAACTAATAATGCATCATGTAAAATGGAATGTCCCCATGTAGAAACTGGCAATTTTTTTTCATGAGCAGAGCCCGTGTAATCGCTTAATAAATGCTTCTGCTAAACCATTTTGAGTATGGATAAGGAACATGGTGTTCAACATCAATGCCCAGTGACATGCAATAATCATCAAAACTTTGATATGTAAACTCTTTACCAAATGTACATGGATTACATCATCATTTACATGAATCAAGGAACTTCTGGTCCTTATTTAATAGTCTGTGGACTGAGACTCTTATGGCCTTTATTACAATTAAGTTATGGCACTGTGGCACTTTAAACTTACAGTACTCATCAAGGAACTTCATGTCCTGATCTTAAGGATCAAGGGACTTCATGCCCGATCTTTTTGTATAATGATGATCAAGGAAATTCAGGTCCGATCTTTTTTTTTTTTACATGATGGAACTTCGGGTCCAATCATTTTATATAATGAGGATCAAGAAACTATAAGTTCTGATCTAATCAAGGAACTTCGGGTCTTGTATATACTCATCATAACAAAAAGAAGTACAATAAATAAATTAAAGCAATAGGCGGTAATTCCAGCCATGGTAAATAAATTACTTTCAAGTAAAAAAAGTTTGTGACAAAGGCTTTAATTCAGCACCATTCACATAAATAAATCAAAACTTAAAGCAGTAGGCGGTAATTCCAGCCATGGTAAATAAAGTGCTTTAAAATAAATAGAACTTGTAAAATGATTTTAAACCAAGACCATTCACATAAATAACAAATTACTGAAAATAATACGAAATACATATGGAGTCACAATGTCATTTGCACCGACTACCATTTGTTATATTTTAATTTTTGACATGATGCCATCATTACTTTCCATTTTAAAGTCATCATATATATATTTATATTTTCTTTTTCTTTTCACATGTTCCAAAACCTTTTTTTTTTAAACATGGTGGTGGTTGGGGGTGGGTTCAAAAACCCGAAAACCGAAAAAAATCGAGAACCGAACCAGACCGAGGCCGAAAAAATCGAACCGAAAATATTTTAATTATAAAAATCATAAAAATTAAAAAAACATCTAAAACTTTTTTTTTAAACATGGTGGTGGTTGGGGGTGGGTTCAAAAAATCGAAAACCGAAAAAAACCGAGAACCGAACCAGACCGAGGCCGAAAAAACCGAACCAAAAATATTTTAATTATAAAAATCATAAAAATTAAAAAAATATCTGAAACCCAAAAAACCGAACCGAAAATATTTTAATTATAAAAATCATAAAAATTAAAAAAATATCTGAAACCCTGGAGGCTCAAGGGTTCGAACCCATGCTTTTTAGGTTGAAAGGTTTCATTGAAACCAACTTGGCAACGAGCCCTAAAATATTTATAAAGATTGAAATCTATAGGCTTTTGTGGAATTAGAAATCAACAAAACCCTAGCCACTAGTGGTAGCAGCCAACCTTTTTTATTTTTCATTCCCCTCTTCTCCCTCTCGTCCCCTGCGCCTCCAGATTCTCTCCCTCCATGTCCATGCCTCCATTTCTCCATTCTTTTCTCTCTGTTTCTCAATCTTCTCACTCCAGGGTAAGATCTCCAACCTCTCTTGTTTATTTTGTCGATTTATGTTTTTTTTTTAGAGTAAATTCCATGGAGGGAATCTAAAATTTTGGTGTAAATTTATGGGTTGTTGTTATGGTTCGTATTGCAAATTTGTTTGATTTTTGTGTTGTGAGAGTTTCACCCATTTTTTTCCTTTTCTTTTCTTTCTCCCCTGATATCATTATTTGCTTGCTTCTCCTCTTTCTTTGCCTCAGTTGTAGCAAGGGCAGCAACAACACCACCACCACAACCAGTTGCAGCAACTGCAACAGCACCACCTCCACCAGTTTTGGTGGTCTTGCCACCCAACATAGCCAACAAGTATGCAATGACCACCTTCACCTCTGCTTGAGAGAGCTCTGGCTATGCGGAGTGTGGATAGAAAGGGTAAATTTGCAGCCGAATGCGGAAAAAAAAAATGTGCTTCAAGCTCAAGATAAAAAGAAAAAAATTCATGAAAAAACCCAAAAAAAACTGAAACCGAACCAAAAAAAATTAGACCAAACCGAAATTTCGGTTCGACTTTGGTTTTGGCAAAAAACCAAACCGTTTCAAACCGAACCGAACCCTAGTGGTGGTGCCGGGTCCATGTCGATGCACCATTCCAAACCCTTGTTTTTTTCTTCTTCTTCTTTTCACATGATGCCAACGCACCATTCCAAAAGCTGTGTGTGTTTTTTTTTTCCTTTCTTTTTCAAGCTCAGCAGCTCTCTCTCACTTGAACTCCGGAGGCAAGGCTCATTCTCTGACAGCATTAATAGCCGATCCGTGCAAAAATTCACAGTTTTTCTTTAGTTAAGTAGGTAAAGGATCGCCAACTCCTCCATAATCCGTCAATGAAGCACTTTTGGGTCTACAACTTATGGTGCAGTGCTCGAAGTATTCTCCTCCTACATTCTCCCTCCGAGCCTTGGAGCTTTCAGCTCCTTTTGTTGTGGCCAATAAAACAACAAATACTACTGCCATCACCATCTCAGATAACTGAATATTTATGGGAGTCCCTAAGATCCGTCGAAAACAATGCGATCTAAGTTTTCAAGTTTGATGAGATTCTTCTGGATCTCTGGAAACTAGTTGTTAGGTACAAGTTTTCTTATCTCGTGACGACTACATATCATTGTAAATTTCAATTCTCACCGGAATTCGATGAGGAGCTTCTGGTGCAGTGGGAGAGATGAAAAATAGATGAAAAAAATGAACATACCTAAGAATAGAAAAGGATCATCTCCAGATCCTCTTTGTGGGGATCCGGGGATCCATCAATCACAACCGTTCATCGTATATCGTGCGGTCAATTTTCGTTAGATACTATTTATATTCAATTTAAAATTTAAAATGATTTCTGACCGCATGATGTACGATGAACGGCCGTAATTGATGGATCCCCCGAATCCCCAAAAAAGAGAATTCAAAGAGGATCCTTTTTCCCTAAGAACGATGTCATCTTGAGCCATTGTTTCAGGTCTCGATTTTGTGTAGCGTTTTCCATTTAGGCGAGAGCTTCTCGTGCTGATAACATATTGTAAAACAGGCGGTATGTGTGCAGTGAAATAAATTAAACAAGACACAATATTTACGAGGTTCATCTACAATCAGTATGACTGGAGTACGTCCTATGAGTAACAGTAGTGCTTTCATTTATAATCTGGAATAATAAGAATACAAAGATAACTCTCACTGTTTTCTCCCTATTCTTTCCCTCTTCTTTCTCTCTCTTTTCTTTCTTTCCTTTCTCTCTTTCCTTTCTCTCTTCCTTCCTGTTTCTTCCTTCCGATTTTGTGTAAGTGCTCTCCTCCTCCTCATTCATTTTATAGGCAAATGAGACTATTCATATAGGTCATTCACATATTATTTATAAGAATTTGTGAATATTACAAATATTCACTTGGCCACTAGAACAATTCATGACAAAAAATAAACGAAACCAACAACAAAAATAATCACAAGTCATGAAATGGCATTGAGTCCGTCGATGATTAAAGTTGTGAAAGCATCCATTCGAGGCTTTGGTAGGACCAAGCCAACCTCAATGCCACCCGACACGTCTCTACTCTCACTCAGTGAAATGCCTGTCACACCATCAATTCCAATCTCCTCTATCTTTCTAGGCCTGCCCCATCCAAAATCTATCTCATACAGATCCACCTTCGGTGACCCGAGAACCATGACGTGGAGCTCCGACCCGAACATCTCCTCCCACTCCGAAATCCACTTCTCTGCCCCTCCCAAAATGGCCTTGTCTAACTTCTTAATAGTGTTTCCGATTGCCTTCGCCGCAACAACAACTCCATTTGCCCCTAGTAGCGCTTTCGTTGACGCCACTGACCGGCCAAATCCAACACAATTACCGACATACGTAGCTGGTACTGGATGACCCAAACGAGTTATCCCGCCCGCAATAAACCCAAAATAATTTGGATCTTCATCGCAACACTTGCTGTAGTTGTTATCATTTTCTTGGGTTTTAAGCAAACAAACCCATGTAAATGCACACGTTAGGACATATGGTGATAAATGTACCGGATGCGACTCATTTCCCTTGTTGCATAGCTCAATAATCCAATTCTTGATGCTCTCCATTTGGGCCAAGTCAATCAAAAATGTTGCCCTAATCATGTTTTTCGAATGCCCATTAACAATGGCATTCTTATTAGCACCTAGAACCACTCCTTGTGAAGAAATTCGCTTCCACCACTCCTTCAAGAAGATATCCTCGAGACCAAGTGCATCGACAATAGCCGTACGATCATAGTAGGGCGCTGATTGTACGGCTATGTTTGACGAGTCTCCGAGACGAGAAAATGAGGCCCAAGCCTTGATGAAATTGTTAAAGGTCCTCTCATCACCAACAACGTGGTGGTAAGCAATCCCAATGCAAATCCCACAATTTGGGAACACTGTAATTTGAACACTTAACAAAGAAATATCTGCTGCTTGTGCCTCATTACTACAATGTGCTATACTACCTGTCGACGCTAGCTCCGGCACAAGTGTGTGAAACTCTACCGCACCTCTTTGGGAATTGCTCGAGAGATACTCAAAGTCCCCGTCCGACTCCACGACAGTCAATGACACCGAGTCGCCTTGCGTGTAGAGAAGCTCGGGCTTTTCGGGATGAGGCCGGGCCAGTAGGGTTCCGGCGAAAGGGTAAAATTGTTGGAGAGCGAGGGAGAGAGAGTGCTTGAGGTTTGGGAGGGTGGTGGAAGTGAAATGGGAAGTCATAGAAGAAAAGAGGTAGGCTTGGAGAGAAGAAGAGCCATGGTATGTCAAGGAAGGTTAGCGGGAGAGAGCGTTTTGGAGCTGCTGATGAGTTTGGTGGGGGAGATACTTGGCATTTCTCAAGAAGTTTGGGTTTGGAGAGTCTTGCCATGGATGAGAAAAAGAGGAGAGGAAGACAACCAGGAGTGGTGAGCAGAAAGATAAACTGTTGAATTTTAATTGTAGCGAGTGAAAGTTGTTGCATTGCATTTGATAATGATATAGAGAGTGCGTGGTCAGCTTTCCACAAGTAACCTTCATATCTTCAAAATTATTATAAAAAGTCGGTAGCGGCAACCGGGGAGTTTAATAAGGGGAAATGATACACACTTTTTTAGTCTTTTATTATTTTATTGGATAATGTTAAGGGATCAAAATTTTAAATTAAATTTGTAAAATGTATGATGTGTTATTAATAAAAAATAAACACGTTAATCAATACTTAAATAATAATTCAATAAAATCAACAACTACATCTTTTGATTTACATATTTGGTTTAAAATTTTCGTCTCCTTAGAGCAAGTCCACCCCTAAGGACTTTGCGCCAGCACCCAGCGCATTTATCCACTCAAATGAACAGTAACAGACTCCAATGAACAGTAATAGGCCAAGGCATCTCCACCCCTAAAAAAATGCGCTGGCACCTAGTGAAAAAATGCGCTGGCACAAACGATCTCTATCCCTACAAAATGCGCTGGCACCCAGTCCATTTAAAATATTTTTAAATTTTTTCTAAAAGAATAAAAAAATAAAATAGTTTTAATTTCGGATAGGATTTTTAACCAATCTCGTCACGTCACGTGTCATTATCTGAACGTACTATTTTGTGAATAGATTTCCACTACAGAGGTTACCGGAAGCATGAGAGATGGCGTTTTTCCAACAAGTAAATGATGCGTTGAGTTTTTTCCAACAACCTTGAAGACCTTGACTAGTTCTGGCGTTTTCTCCATGTACATCGCAAAACGCTTTCGTAATTTTACTCCACATTTCTCGCTTATCCATCTCATTACCCGTAATCGGGTCATGAGTAGTGTGAACCCAACATTCACACAACATAACATCTTCAATGAGCTTCCACGAAGACATTTTTTCTCTTAAAGTGTAGAAAATATTGAAATGTAGATAGTATAGAAAGTGTAGAAAATATTGAAATGTGGTGTAAAGGTGGAAGATGAGGGTTAGGTATTTATAGGAAAAAAAAATAACATTTTTCAAATATTTCTGTAATTTTTTTAAAATTTTCTGTATTTTTTAATAATTTTTAATGAATTTTAATATAGTTAATTAATCTGGACCGTTGGATTTGAAAAATATTCAAATCCAAGAGCCAGGGACTTGCCACGTGGCCAACGGTCATATTTCTGACCGTTGGGGCCTTCTTTTTTTTTATTTATTTACTTTTTTGTAAAAAAAACGTGGACCGTTGATCTTTGATCCGACGGTCTATATGTTAAAAGTAAAATTTAATTTTTTTTACCGTTGGAAATCCAACGGTTTAGAAAACTAGCCGTTGGAAATCCAACGGCTGAAAGAAAGCCACGTCGCCAACTCGGGGGGGGGAGTCAGTGCGCCTGTCACGCGGGCCCGGGCTCTGAAACCGTGTCGGGCACTCGCGCCACACCGGCGTGAATTGCACGCGCCAGGCCAATAGTCCGGCTTCTTGCTCAGTCTATTTTGGGCTGGTCCATTGCCCAGCTCGGGCTGAGTACCAGTTCATTTCATGGGGTGGACTTGATTGACAGAGGCCCGGCACGTTTTTTGGACTGAGGGCTGGGACATTTTGTCCCCGCTGGACTTGCTCTTAGCATAAGGATGGTCTACCTAGCATTATCCTTACTAGTAGTTTTATTTATTCAATTCGATAATCAAAAATATAAAAAATTGTGTATCATATTTGGTTTAAAAATTTAATCTTCCTAATATAAGAATGATTTATCTAGTATTATCCTCACTAGCAGTTTTGTTTATTCAATTCGATAATAATAATAAAAAATATAAAAAGTTAAAAAGATCGTGTGAAACTCACTTTTCTTATAAATTCTTCTAATTATTGGGGAACAAGAGAGAGAGAAAAAAAAACTTTTTTTTGCAACTAATATACTATTTTAATGACATCAATCCAATAAATATTTGTTGTTTGTTAAAAAGCGAATCATCCGTCCATTTGTAGTCTGTAAATAAAATAGATTTATGAATTTATGGACACGAGGAACACGTGATTGCATAGAATGTTTGTTGCATGAAAAACATGATATATTTAGACCCTTTTTTATTTCTCAAAACCCTTGCAACTAGTCAATTATATTTGGTTTTGAAGACGGAAATTTTCAAAATGAATGTGGTAGGGGTGGGTTCGGTTCTATTCGGTTTGATAAAATTGAAAATCAAACCGAAATTATTGTTTGATTCGGTTTATTTTTTAAAGTTTTATTCGGTTCGATTTCAATTTTTCCATTTTAGTTTCGATTTTTTTACTGAAAATTTATTTATCCAGATTCATTTCTAGAAAAAAAATTAAATAAAATCAAAATAAAAGTTAAATCCATCCCTGGAAATATTCATAGAGCCAACTGCAGCTAGGAATTGAAATGTATATACATACGATTAAAACGTGAAATAAAATTCAAGAACACAACTAAATCCTATCACAACAGCACCACATCAACCTTCTGGTATTTTTAAATAAAAATTGAAATTTTGAAATTTTGAAATAAAATTAAAAAAAAAATGAAAGAAACCAAAAGATGAAAGAAAAGGGTTGTTCGGCCACGATTGGGACCGAGAGGCTCCCGGCCGGCCCACAAAGGGTGCAGAATCATGGATACATTCTAATAAAATTCTAATTGAATATATTCTAATAAATTTTTTTAAAATTCTAATTGAATATATTTTGATTTTTAAAATTTTTAATAAACTATCTTAAAATTCTGATTTAGTACATATTAAATTTCAGATAATTACTTAAAATTTTGATTGAATACATCTAGATTCATTAAAAGAATTAAAATCGCTCAAAATCTCAATTGAATACACCTTAAAAGAATACACCCCTAAAAAGGAAGAAAGAAGTCTGACAAAAAAAACAAAAAGAAGAAGAAGAAGAAACGGCAAGAGAAGAAAGGAAGACAGGAAAAGAAAATGATGTGAAAGTGGAGAGAGGAACGACGACGCAATCCCAGAGGGAAGAAAGAGAGAAAAAAATTAGGGTTTAGTTTAGTAGTGATGGGCTATTGGGCCATTTTATGGCTTGGATTGAGCTAACATTTGGGCTTAAAATAAATGAACATAATTGGATTTCATAACTAAATATTTAACATAAAAAATATGTATATATATGTATATGTATATTTAATTCGATTCAGTTCAGTTTCCGAAAAAATAAAAACCGAAACAGGACCAATTAATTTTGGTTCCGTTAGGGGTTCCATATTCTATTTGGTTCTTTTTCGGTTTGATTTTTTCTAATTTCGGTTCTTTTTTTTTTTTTCGATTTTTGAACCCATCCCTAGAATGTGACCCTTTTCGTTTTGGTTTTATCAGATATTTTGTGATGGACTGCAGTATGTTTGACCAAGTTTTCTACAAGTACAGGAGACAGGAAATTATTTTGTACCTACCAAAGGTCTATTTTTGGAAAGATATTTTAGCGTGCCCATAATACAAAGGCCGAACACCACATGTCATTATACAATAAGTTGGATATTTGAAAAAAAAAAAAAAAAAACTTTCCTCAAATTATTAATGAGTGGTGCTCCGGACCGTGTTTTCGGCACATTGAAAATCTCTCTCATTTTTTATACTACTGGTGGATACAATGCACTGGTGTTAAACGATGAGGTTTGGTTCGATTTGAGCTAAATTAAGGGAATAAATCAAAACAAATCATTTATTGGGCGAGATTAGGTCGTGCATGAATTTTAGAAATGTCATGGTGCGGTGAAGATACCACGAGATTATATAGGCTTTATAATGGTTTTTGTAGTTTCCCAAATTGATATAAACCGTGAGTACCTCACAACTTTCATAAAAAAAATGTAGTTACTGAGTTTTCACAAGATCTTTTGCCAATGCTGGACCTAAGTTTTTTAAGGCTCGGAGAAAAATTTCAAATGATGCCCTTGTCGATTAGGGGTTGGCACTTGGAACTGAATATCAAAACCAAAATATGGACCGATCCACACCAAATGGTTTGGTTTGTGCAGTTTTGAAATGGTTTTGGTTTGAAACCGAACCGAACAGCAAGTTAAAAAATGGTTTGGTTACCATTCCTAATATCTAAAACCGAACCGAAACCAAACCGAGCCGCATAATATAAAAAAATATATATTAAGGCTTTTTAAAGTTTATAACAACTAATGTAATCTATATTTTTTATGTTTGTGTATTGTGTAGAGTTAGCCAATTCAAATTCAAGCACCACCTCTCTTACGCTTAATTCATAACCACAACAAGAAGCTCCAAGGCAATCTCAAGTTTCTAGTTCACAAGGTTCAATGGTTTCTCATCCATCAGTTTCACTTTCACAAGGTCCAAGGTCTTCCCAAGTATTGTATTCTCAAGCTCAAATGCCTTCTCAAGCCCGTTCACAAGTTCAAAGGCTTAAACCTTCAAATAGTAAGGTCATCTCTAACCGAGGGCTGGCCAGATGGCTCGTTTTAGCCCTCTGGCCCTCCAAGATTCCCCAAGATATTAATATTTTAATGAACAATATAGGGCCATATTGGCCTCCGTCTTCAACCGAGGGCCAAAGGGTCAGAGGGCTCGTTTTAGCCCTGTCACAAAAAACCGTCTCCAACCGAGGACCAAAGGGCCATAGGGCCAAACATAATTTATTATTTAAAAACTACAATTTAAATTCAAATCTAACGGCTAAGTGACGTCAACATGATGTCAGCTAGCCATTGGTAGCTGACATCATGCTGACGTCAGCTAGCCGTTGGATTTGATTTTTTTTTTGCTATAAATAGGGTGGATATTGGGCTATAATTCACACAACTTTAAATAGGGTGGAGTCGAGAAAATTTGAACTCCATCATGATGTCTTGCATCATATTACACAATATGATAGTGGAGGATGAGCGAGATGGGTATATTGATGGAGAGTCCGATGATGACCAAGAAGATCCAAATAGGTCAAGAAGGGCTCTAGCAAAAATATATGATGAGCCTAATTTGCCTTTCAATCCAAGAACTGGTAGTATCTCTATAAATAAGTATATGAGGCGCTATAGAATGATACGTTCT